GGTTTCCCGGGAGACAGAGTTGGAGATTTGCAGGCAGGCGGATTTGGGGGAGCGCTCTGCGGGGCGACACCTGTGAGGAAGAGCGGGGGGCAGGGTGGGCAGAGGGAGAAGTCGAGCTGTGATGCGATTGCAACAAGGCCCTCTGCCAGGGCTGCAGGGGGCTTGGGACGGGGGCGGCCCTTCTAAGTGGCCCCTAATTGAGGCAGGGGGCGGGCTTTTGTACCTCCTTATTTTTTTTTTTTTGAGACAGAGTCTCACTGTGTTGCCCGGGCTAGAGTGCCGTGGCGTCATCCTAGCTCACAGCAACCTCAAACTCCTGGGCCAGGGCTGCAGGGGGCTTGGGACGGGGGCGGCCCTTCTAAGTGGCCCCTAATTGAGGCAGGGGGCGGGCTTATATACCTCCTTATTTTTTTTTTATTATTGTCTCAGTATAAACTTCCAGAAGTGGAATTGCTAGGTCAAAAATATATTTATTTAAAAGTGAATGAGGCAAGGGTACACTGGAATATAGACATTCTTTGTACTACACTTGGAACTTTTCTGAGAATCTGAAAACATTTTACAACAAAAAGCAAATATATAAATAAATACACTCAAAAGAGAGAGTGCCTCTTTTCTCACAACTTTGCCAGCATGTCTGGGTGTTATTATCTTTTCATCTTTGATAACTGGCTAGGTTAAAAATATAAGGAAAAACATACTGTTCATTATTTTAATTTGTATTGATTTTTTTTTTCCTCTCATGGTATTCACTTTTTCCTTCTTATTGATTTGTAAGCATTCTTTGCAAGCTGAGAAAGCCAATTAAACATTAGCTACACTACAGTACTACACAGCCCTCCTCACTTCATAGTTTAGCAGCTTAAATCCCTTTTGGACTAAGAAGAAAGAAAAACCCAAACGGTTAGCACGCTGTTCAAGACTAATCACTTGTAACATTGTTACCTCACACAGCTCAACTAAGTGCTGAACCACAGATTCCTTTCTCTGCCGGAAATTTACGGTCTGCAGTTGATTTTCAGACAAAAAATCCCAGGCTTTTAGGATTGTTGTCATTTCAGTCATGGGGATTTTCAAGATGGTCCTCTTGATAAACTCGGCAACAGTCTCATCCATCTCTTTGGCACTTTAATAAAACAAAAACAGCACAACAAAGTATTAACCAAATACAACATTTTTCAGCATATTTTTAATCTGGGATTTTGATTTGTAGGTCAGCACCCAAATGTTTACCTTTTTCAGCCACTTTGCAAACAGTCTCAGCGTGAAGATTCTAATTATTTTCTCCTTAAACTGTATATAAATATTTAAATATATTTTGGAGCAGCGGCCCCCGACATTTTTGGCACCAGGGACCGGATTCATGGAAGACGGTTTTTTCACAGGGGAGGGGGAGGCGAAGCTGGCGGGGAGGGAGGCAGAGCTCAGGCAGTGATGGGAGCAATGAGGAGTGGCTGTAAATACAGATGAAGCTTCCCTTGCTTGCCTGGCGCTCACCTCCTGCTGTGCAGCCCAGTTCCTAAGTTTCATGGAAGATAATTTTTCCACAGAGGGAGCTTGGGGAGGGGCGGAGCTCGGGCACTGATGCACCCGGGTCTGCAGCCCGGGGATTGGGGACCACAGGAACTTGATAATGCTTGTGGAATGAGTGACTATATACTCTCTGTAAGCAGTATGCCTGCGGAGATAACCTGGCAGGATTAAGTCAGTGTAACATCAAACCAACACTTTTTTTTTTTTTTTGAGACATTGTCTCACTCTGTTGCCCCACGCAGAGTGCATTGGCACCATGGTAGCTTACAGCGACCTCAAATTCCTGGGCTCAAGCGATCCTCCTGCCTCAGCCTCCCAAGCAGCTGGGACTCCAGGCATGCGCCCTAGTGCCCGACTAGTTTTTTCTACATATTTCTAGTTGTCTGACTAATTTCTTTCTATTTTTAGTAGAAACAAGGTCTCAGTCTTGCTTAGGCTGGTCTCGAACTCCTGACCTTGAGCGATCCACCCCCCCCCCTCGGCCTCCCAGAATGGTAGGATTACAGGCGTGAGCCACCAAACCCGGCCAAACCAACACTTTTAAGAACACGTGAGGTTGGGGTAGCCGTTGAAATGAAGATTCCCGGGCCCTATCAAGTTAAATGGAAGGGAGGGCATATAGGGCTTGAGATTTAGCATTCTGGGTAAAGTCTGCAGAACCTCATTCTAAAGAAATCTGGTAGCGTGTGCTCAATCTCATCAATAAAGAAGGGAAACCCTTTAATAAACATTTCCCCTGTGACTATTCTTAAACCTTCTTTGTACTTCCTGGCGCTTTTGCACAGCGCCTGGCACAAAGACACACTCGTTGGACGCATTACAAAGAAGGGCCTGTAGACACACACCGCTGCAGAGTGGAACAGGTAGCGTAAGAAGTAACGCGACAGGTGCAGGGACCAAAAAGGAAGGAAGCCGAGATGAGCTCAAGACCAAAACTAAACTCCAGCTGTGGGCAAGGTGGCAAGCCGAGGCTCTTAGAGCAGAGCAGCCCGTCGCCTGACAACCCGGCACGCTCCTGCGCAGACGCGCGTCCACAGAACGCTCGGCCCCGCCCCACCACGGGCGGAAGTGACGTCACGAGCCCCCTGCGTCCCCGCCCGCTCTCACCACACCGTCTACCGTAGTTCCCCCCAACCCCGAGAGCTAACGCCAATCCTCCGCCTTAGGACTCGCGCCGGTCGCGAAAACGGGGCCTCAGAGGCCTGGGATCTGGCTCCCTCAAGATTCCCGCCACCCTTCGGGGCCCAATCCTATACGGCCGAGGACTGTCTTACCGGCCCACATCTCCAGCCGCCTCGCTCCTCAGCAGCTGTTCCCGCCCGCCGCGCCTTCAAAGCCACCAATCGCAGTGCCCGCCGCCACCAGGCTCCGCCCGCCGGAGCCCAAACCTTGGAATGTGCCTTGCGCACAGGGGACCGCCTGGAGGAAGCGACAGAAGTGGAACTCGCCGAAGCCCCGCGTCACTCCCCTGAGCAGAGAAGGTTGTTTAAGTCAAGCTTAGTGTCAGTCACGAAACTTGGATTGTTGGTTCGGCTCGTTGTTTAGGCCCGTGGTGCCTCAGTGCTCTCGCTCCTTTTCCCCTCGTAGTGCCCGGAAGTGGGCCCGTCCGGGCCAGGTGGCGCATGCGCCTCGGCGGCGGGGCTGGCCGCGTCAGCTGTGGAGGGGGCCGCGGCGTTCGCCGCCTGCGCAGCTACCAGGCTCTGGCCCCGCAGGCAACCGGCTCTCAGTGCAGGAGCGTGCGTCGCTGGACCGCTTCAGCCCTCCCCGTGTGGCCGCGAGTCGGGTGAGTCTCGGGAGTCCGGGCTGTTCCAAGGAGCGATCCCGTGACCCTCGTCCGGTCCCCCTGAGGGCGCGCGCGCCCCGCGGTGCCACGTCCTGCCGGGGCTGCCCGCCGGCCCTCGGAGGTCGGGCCCGGGAAGAGCCGGCCCCGCGTCCTCGCTCCCGCTGGTCCCATCGGCCGCTGCGCCAGGGAATTCGCCAGGGCGGCTGGAGCTGCGTTCCCAGGTCTCGGCCCTTTGGCGTTTGTGGGGACCCGCCGGTGGTTAAGAGCAGGCTTCGGGTGACACTCGCTGTTGGAAACCGCCCGCCACTCTCTAGCCTGGTGACCTTGGGCGGCTCCTCCGCTCTGTGAGCCTTGGCTTCCTCGCTTGTAAAATGGGTATAACCCTTAACACAGTGTTTGAGCTGCTGAGCGCTCCGTAAAGCGTATTGTCATTGTTGTTTACCTAGGGGTTGAGAACTTGCGTGCAGAAAGTGGGGGTCTGTTACCGCGCACCGCAGCTGCAGTGAAAGTTGTCTCTCATCCGTCTTGGGAAGTGAGAGCCCTCTCAGATCTCCATCAGTGCACTTTTCAAGGGAAGTGCACACTCAGATCTCTTTTCTTGGGTTTAAAGACTGTCGTGTTTGTGTTTTCACAACAGGCGTTTTATGTATAGTCGTAAATAAGTCAAAGTTTTGGAAATCTTTATTTTAAACTTTAAATGCACAGAAGTTTGCAATGGCAAAGGAATTCTCTGTGTGATGCCTTTTGTATCTCTTATACGTGCATCTTTTGCACTTGTTGAGTTGATTTAAAATGAGCCTCTTTCCATCCTTTTTTTTTTTTTTTACTGTGTTGAGATCTGAACTAATTCTCAATCTCTGATAAACGTGAATTCAACATTCAGCAAGCGTTTATTGGGCATTTACTAAGCGCATTTACAAGAATACTCATTCACTAGCCTGTGCATTCTTTGAGGTGTGTGGACTGATTTTTATTTTTCTTTGAAATTCACGTGACTTGGCAGAGCGCTAAGTACCTTGTAAGTACTCACGAATGTCTGTTGAAGGAAAGCAACAACTTGGGCCGGTTCCTTGAGAACACTTAATCAGTAGCAACTGTTTAGATTCGGTCACTTTGTGGTGGGATAAGTAGAAGTGGGTAGGTAGGCAGTCTCCTGCTGTGTCTACTACCTCTGCTGTCTACATGGTTCATAGTTTGAAAAAGTTGGAAAATACTCATTTAAATAATATCAAGGCTTTCTGAAACGTAGGCTTTTAAAAATGTGTGTTAGAAAGCATAAAGTATTAGTTTATAGGGTTTTTTCCCCCCTGGAGAACGGGTTCTTAGGACTGAACAACAGACTCTTCTGGCTTTGTTTTTTTGCATATTTTAAAACAACATTAGAAATTATAACTGTAGTGTAAATTTCTTCCTGTGCAGGCACACAATAGCAAAATCCTTCTAAAGAAAAACCGAGTGGCATTAAAATATAAGGTTCTTCCCCGTGATTATAGATCTGCTGAAGTGTTATTAGAATGCTTACCCCTTCTCTTTTGGCTAAAGTTAATATTGCTTGCTTTTGATTTATTTATTTTATAAAATTGTGCCACCTGGTGGTTGAAATCTGCTGTCTATCATAGAACACTCATCAGGGAGATTTTACCTCTGAGTCGGTAGACTAAGGTGAAGGAATGAATGAAATAAGACTATAATTTTTATATCTTCAGTGGGAGTACCCTACTGCTTCTACCCTCCCAGCCAAGCCCCAAGGAAAAGTTAAAATTGCTTTGTTAGGGGCCCGTTAACAAGATATCAAAACATCACATTTTCACAGTTGAAAATTTTAAAGAGTTTCAGTGGATTGTTTTCGTATCATTGTGTGCATACTTGAGGAAGTGGGTGCAGCTGGCACGGGGAGGGAGGTGATGTACTCGTGACAAGTGTACCCTTTCGATGTTTTCTAAATGGCAGTGTAAAGGTGGGACTGAAGTTTTGTATTTAACTAAATAATAGCAGTTTGATGGAATTTATCCCTCCTCATCCGGCTCCCAATGGAAGCACCCATGCAAGAGGTCTTATATTCCTTTCACTTTGTTTCAGTGATGCTGCTGATGTTCATAATTACCTTGGCACCACCCTTTTGAAATTATTTTCTGTATTCTTAGTACCAGCAAGTGTTTATCCTTTGCATGTGCATTTTATTTCGGGGAATAGCTTAAAATATTGTGAACTAGATTTGAGAAGTTAAGAATGCAGTGTAAGAATGTACTCTGACATCTTTAACTGAGGTAGCCAGTCTCTTTTGGACAAGTTACTACTGCAGATAACTGAGAGCTTCACACAACAGCCTGTTTCATTGTTGGACATCCAAGATGATAACATCTGCCTTTGCAATTTCCACCCTTTGAGTTCTAGTCCTGTCCTCAGACACATCACAGAGTAAATTCAGTTCAGCCTTTCCTAGCATATGACTGAGAATTTCAGATCTACAAATAATACTTTACATATGTCACACTCCCTGTTTAGTATTTCAGATACTCCCTCATATGTTATTTTAAACCTATGCCAACACCAAGATATAGGTCAAGAGCTAATTCCACTTTATAGAAGAAGAGACTTAGGTCTCAGATTAGTAACTGAAGTAACATAACTTGTGAATAGCTGACCAGTGACATGTACAATGCTATTCTTTTAATCTGGACAGACCCTCTATTTCCAATAATACAAGATAGTACTATACTGACTTCTCTGGAACTTAGGCCTAGAATTCGTGCCTCTTGGCTTTGTAGCCAATCACAGTCTTTTTGGGAAATAATGTTTTCCATCTGAATTTATTTCATTCACAAACTGCTGCGAAGACATGTCTTTCCTATTGTGAATGTGGAAAAAATCTGTCATGGTTAGAGATTATGTTGGGTAGTAACTCTGCCACTTACTACTGTGTAACCTGGGCTTAATTTCTCTATGAAGATGTGAGTGATGCCTATTTTGGCCTACAAAAAGACAATTTCTTGTGGTTCAACTGAATTTAAAAAGGTACCCACTTCATAGAGTTGTTGGGTTATAACACTAGTGCCTAGCTCTTGGTAAGTGTTCAAAAAATTATTTTCTAAAACAATAATGTTGAAGTCTTATGGCTTTGAAGGAATTTTAAAAGTAAGAATATGGAATGTATTATATATTTAGCTTTTCTTTGGTTGATAAAAAATACTTTGACTTATATTAGTGTTATTAGAATAGGCTTTTAAAGGTGACTATTGGAAGTTATCACTTACTTAAATGTGTTTTGACAGAAAAATGCCATTGTTTTATAGTCGTGCTTTTATATTACACTCAAGAGTATAGCAGTACATCTGTGTATGCGCCAACTTTTAGGCAAAGCCAGGTGGCACAGGGTGGATGGAAGGGAGTATAGGTGAAGGGTTGACAGGGAGAGGGGAGAAAGAGGCTATCTAGCTAAAAAGATATGATGAAGGAGAGAGGGGAATGATTGGGGAAGCAAGGAATATGTTAGGTAAGGGATAAAGTAAGCATTTAGAGTTTTAGGCTAAGGAGTAGCTTCTTACCAAGAAGAATAGAAAAAGGAAACTAAACCATTTTATTGTTCAACATACTCATCTTGGATAAGAGTAGAAGAGCCTCATAAATATATACAATTATTATTTGTCAATTAAAAATACAATTAAATAATAAGTGGAAGGGAAGATGTCTTATTGGTATCCTAGGTGGATCTATGCTAGCATACGTATTTGAAGTAAACTTTTGCTATGGAAAGAGGAAAATATATATCATTGTATGTACTTGTGCTTATATATAATGTGCATGTATATATTATCTCAGCAGCCAAGTGTCTTCTCAAGTATTTGCCAATTAAAGAGGTCATTTCAGTATATCATAAGCTTGTTTCTGACAAGCTTATGACAGAAATTTGCAAAAATATTTTGTCAAATACATTTACAAAATAAAATGTTAAAAACATTTTCTAGGTGTCTAAACCAGGTGCATTTTCTTTCTGAAAAAGTAATCAAGGGCACGGTGGCTCATCCCTGTAATCCTAGTGCTCCGGGAGGCAGAGATGGGAGGATCGCTTGAGGTCAGGAGTTTCAGACCAGCTTGAGCAAGAGTGAGACCCTGTCTCTATAAATAGAAAAATTAGCCGAGCTTGGTGATGCGCACCTATAGTCCCAGCTACTGGGGTGAGGGGTGGGGGCTGAGGCAGGAGGATCACTTGAGCCCAGGAGTTGGAGTGTTCAGTGAGCTGTGATGATGCCATGGCACTCTAATCTGGGCAACAGAGCAAGACCCGGTCTCAAAAAAAGAAACAAAAGGTAATCAAGGCAGAAACCAGATAGCTAATACTACACATAAATGTAGGTGCATAATATTGGTATAATATCAGATGACTTAAATTGCTGAACTATATGAAATTTCATTTTTCTCAGACAAAAAATTTGTGTCATTAAAAGGACCTTGTCAGTGTCAGGCAAAGAAAACTTGAACTTGGCTGCATTTTCATTTTCCATTTCAAATAAATACTTAGCTGGGTGCAACAGCCTGATTTGTGATCTTGAGCTGTGGTATGTTTTTTGTGTGTGTGTTTTCAGTAGTTAATGAATGGAACAATGATCTACTGGCATTTTTACAAGTTGCAATCTGAAATAGTAGCTATACTCTAATCCTCTGGAATTGTATTTGTTCAAACTTTTAAAATTTTATTTGTTGGTAGTAAAGGTGGATGGGCAATTAGAATTTCTCAGAACTTTTTTTAACAGCTTTATTGAGGTATAATTTACATACCATAAAATTCACTCATTGTAAGTGAATTCAATAATTTTAGTAAATTTGTAGAGTTGTGCAACCATTACCACAATTCAGTTTTAGAACATTTTCGTCACCCAAAAAGGTTTCTTTTTGTCCATTTGCAAATTAATCATCATCTTCACCTTTCAGTCCTAGGCAACCAATGATCTGCTT